AACAGCCTTAGCTTTGGTCTGAATAAGGTGTTACCCTGAAAGGGAGCCATGTTTCGAAATACGCCTTTAGTAATAAAAACGAGTTCGTTTATTTTTTCTATGTAAAGTAATAAAGGTGAAAAAGTGAAACTCTTGAGCTGGTTCTTTTCTTCGGCTTTTTTTTCGACGTAGACGGGGGTTATTGCGCGATAACCGTCCGATGATTTTCACCACGTGACGTTGCGTAACCATGAGAATCACGGGAAAATCAATGAGTGGGTTATAAAATAACAAAAACTTCACTACTTATATGGGGTAAAGTACATTTAAATATGATCTGCTGCGCTTATATAACACCACAACTACGTCAATCAAAGGAGTTTAGACCAATTCTACCGACAGAAGTATCACATTCATAATAACTTGCTTTTTGAGAGTGAATTACCATCCACACTGGAATAATCACAAATTTTGATGCTAAAACTTTGAGCTCTTTGATTTCATCAAAAGTTATTGTATGACATATACTGAACTATTCGTGATAGATTCAAATATGTACTTATTCCTGGTTACTGAAAAGACGTATAAAATTAACCGCTCGTGGCTAACAACGATCAAAAACATTTTCGTCTTGAGAGATCGGTTTTCCCCTCTGTTAACAATTAGTGATTTATAATAGTTATTAACTATCAGGGTGAAGACCTGTGATCGGTGAACAGGTTAGTATTAAAAAGTTACTGTAACATCTGAATAAACCTGATAAAACATTCCTATTTGTGGCTTGCTCTAACGTTAGCACAAGTCTTAGCCTCATTCCCGAGAAAATAAGTTTGCAAAAAGGTCCATTTTGAACTGTTGACCTTTTCCTTATAAAGAAGAAGACTGGGGGCACAAAATATATTTCTGGAATTCTGTAACAATTTAGCCGTGCAAACATCAAATGCTCAAATCTGGTTGTTAATAATAACGCTGCACAACTTTCTTCCCTTCCCTCTCAATTGTGATGCAATTTTTGCCCAAAAAGTCTATGCAAATCACAATGCCTTAATGCCTTAATTTCATAAATAGTACGTTTTCCGTTAACGTTGCCCCTTCTTCTTCTTCTTCGGTCCGCTTTCGCCAGACATATATCAGTCGAGCTCCGTTGGGAACTGGATCGAGTGTGACGTCAAGTGACGTCATTTTTTAGTGACTAGTTTGATCATTCTACAATTTGTGAACCAAGCATAGTTTGTATGTAGCATGAGATTTTAGTGCTTTTAGAAGTTAGTGTCATTCTACATATAAAGTTAGCATGCTTCAAACAAACAAATAATAGTAATAATAATGATGCTAATGAAAGTGGTAATAAATATGACAAACATAGTTTCAACGAGAAAAAAACATGATAAATATAACAACAGTTAGTTTTATAAATAATTTTTTTCCGGGTTGTAATGAGGCTTTCTATATCCTCTATTTAAGTTTAAAAAGTGTTGGGAATCAAGAATACAAGACGTAATACCTTCGAAAGACAGTAATATAATAAGATGTTTGAAATATGTGGAGGAGCAAGTCCAGTGAGAGCAGTGAAAGTGATGAGTCAATTTTAAAGAATTAGTGGAAAAATCGAACAAATATATAATTGCCTCAAGGCATAAGTAAAGCATATCAATTATTCATCTGCCATTTTTAAAAACGAATTAAAACTATGATTTGCTGATGTACGAGGCTTGTGGAGAACCAAGCAACATCCGTGCATCACGCACCATAAGTTTGCTATTAGGATATGGCACGTGACCCAAATAGGTAAAGTAGGGACCAGTCCTAAGGGATGCAGGAGCTAAGCCCTCACCGGTCTGTCGCTCTTCTTTCCGCCATTTCACACGTCTGTTCTTGAACCAAGTCTTAAAAAGAAATACAAGATGTTCGAATTAATATTGCCCTTGATGCTGATTTTCCCTGTGGACGGAGGAATGCGAGAATGAATTTAGAAGAAAATAATTGGTGTTTTGGAAGCCAAAGTTAAGGGCTGATGATGCGCAAATATTTATGAATCTAAATTTAGACGAACGAAGCAGGAAATGACCGGTCACCTGCACTAAGATATGATTGGTTGACATTCTAGGACGTGGCTATGTAACGTAATCACTTCTCTTCCTTTACGTGTACTGTACACCAGTTAGGATGCCAAGGTCAAGGGCTGATGTCGTGCAAGTCCTTAACATGTTGATTGGTTAAATTTTGAGATTGGCCCTAATGACGTCATTTCCTTCACCTGCGCCTCCTCCACCTCCTTATTACTCTCAAGATCTCATAGCGACTCTCCCTCCCTCCCTCCCTCCCTCTGTGTAAATGCAATGATGGTTTCAATTAATATGAAGACAGTGGAGATGTTTTGAATGTATGATGTCTTTTTAAATCAAAAGGTTTTTGAGAAAATCACTTAATTGGGATCGGTGAGGAGAAAGAAATGACACGCACAACATGGGCACAATACCGTGACACATTACTTGAAAAGCATTAGGGCAATTCTACTTTACACATCATTTTTGAAATTGCGCTCAAATCGCACTCTATGAGAATTGTCCAGTTTGGACAGAATCTTCAAACTACTTGCTTTCATGACAATCTTTCAACTATTATAATGTATTCAATGAAAGAAGTGATCTTTGGTGTTGTTTTTCCATCTAAAAACGAGAGCAGAATGATTTAGTACTAAGATCTACCTGGATTTTTTCACATGAAATTCCCAGTTCTTGAGATAATGCTAGGCGTTTCTGAGCTGAAATATACTGTGACAGAGAAAATGTCTTCTCCAACACACATCTTTGATAAACAGTGAATTGAACTCTTGTACATTTGACTGGTTCTTTTACTGGCCCTTCCCTCTTTTTTTGAGGCTCTGTATGCGAGAAAAGAAAAGCAAATTATGATGATGCCATTCCAGAAATGTTGACGGGAAAATACCCGTCGGCTGCTTGACGATTTTATTTGTACTGGCAGCCGACAAGTTCATTTAACATGCCCTGACAACAGGAACATAAAAAAGCTACTAATGATCTTATGGATGTGGTGTCCAAACGTTACCGAGTCGATTCTTTCTCTTCATCTGCAGAAATCCAGTTGAAACGTTGCAAGTTGGTAAGCGTTCAGGATTAGAATTTTGGAAGTAAAAAAGGGATTGGAATTCATAATTTGGGCCGCGTGGATGATATATTTTTTTTGTCTTTTTATTGTTTCCTTCTTTTGAAAAATTAGAGAAAATTATTCATTTTTTAAGAAACGGGTATGGTTCTTCTCATAACTTTATCTATCAAGGATTTGATTTTTTTCAGAAAATTAAGAAATTCAAAAGCCTTATTCAACTGCTCTTTTTCATTTTTTTTCCACTTACCTCCTTCGCCGTCGGTAAAATTAAACAAAAATTATGTATGACTATCCATGTATTTCGGAAACGTGAATAGTCTCGTCTCCTCTCTCCTAATCGAAGATTTACCATTTCGGTATAAGTTCAAAAGCTATTTTCCATGCTATGAATGCACGATTACGGCGGGCTACATCACTTAATATTATCTTTTACCAACCTCTTGTTGGGTTCACTCGAATAACGGTGCTTGTCTCTTTTGGGAAACTATGGGCAGTGACATTTTGGACGACAGAAATCGTCACGGGTTCAGCGTACAGACATCCAGGGCAAGCTGATGGCTCATCCATGATTCGAGAAGAACTGGTCGAACCAGCACCACTTTGATAGACGTGATAAAAGGCCATGTTAATTCTGGTTGAGTCTGCATTAACTAAGTTTTAACGCTTCATTTAACCAATCTATTTCTACTCTTCAACTCCTCTCTGCCAATCATTTATATTAACGTCTATTTTAGTGAAAAACAAATGGGAATGACGTCACTAAAGCGCTCTTCCAATTAACGCGTTAAAGACTTGCATGACATCAGCCCTGACCTTGACATCCTAGCTGGTATATGGCACACGTAAGGGAAGAGAGGTGATAACGTATTAAAGCCACGCCTAAAAATATTAACCAATCGTCTTAAATGAGTTGACATCAATCTATGCTTCGTTCGTTCGAACATGGGACCATCATCTATTTGCGCAGCAATGTACGAGCTCTATTTCCAAGGTGACGTTTTTCTGCCTGCCTAAAGTCCATAATGGCTCTCGTATCTACCCCGTCACTAGTTTTAACGATTTAAGAAAAATTAGGAGACCTAGGCAGGGGTAGTATGGCCACTTTGATTGGTGTTAACAAAGTGGAATGGCACCTGAAAACGGGAAATCAACCCGCTGAGTGCCAAGTTCTCGCGTTTCATCTCCCTAATTGATGACGCCATAAAATTATGGTAGAAAGTAGAAACACCATCTAAAGTTCTCTAATTTTCTTAGTGGCTTTTATTGCATATACACTTTAAATTATACTACAAAATAACATATGCATGGACCAATCTCATACCCAGATTCTACTGTTAACTACCGCTTGGCATTAGAAGGTCTGGGTACAAGACTAACAATTACACGAACCGTCTCTCATATGCTTTGATCATATGAACACCAGTAACTTTTCCAAACGAAAAGAAGGTTGCCGAAAAAACAGGATTTTCAAGATGTTTTGTGAAACATCAAGCTTAAAATGCATCATGTTTCAGCTTTCTTATTGCAGGAGATTTCTTGTCCTTAAGATCAAGCCAGAAGCGTTTATGATTCCGTTGAACTTTCCCATGTTTCCGAACAACGTTACGCTACGCTCGTCTTTAAGCGATTTATCATTTCCATTTTGAAATCAGTGTTGGTCTTTGCAATTTGATTGGCTATCAACAGAGCGATTTAATTACGATTTTTTCCCCCTAAATCGTATCGTTTTCCCTGCCGAGGAGATCACAGAACTAACACAAATCAAAACATGTATTTGACTCATTGCAATGCAATCTATTCATGAAAAGCACCATTTTGTTACTATGGATTGATTTTTTTCTTCTTCGGAAAAGGATAACCTACCACTGGATCGATAAAATATCGGTACCGACCGAAATAATTTATTCATTTTTTATTTATTTTTATATCTAAACGATCAAATTATGAGATTTCTTGGCTGGTAATGTCTACAGGTTCATAAGTTATCATCAAGATAACATTTGTGTATGGCACTTAACTAAAGCGCCGACCACATGGAAATAAAACTGTGACCAGACAACCGAGATGCATTGAGCGGCGGTGTTCTTTCTTCCTTATGCCACTTTACTCTTGTATTATTGAGCCAGTTCTGAAAATAAAACAGCACAAATGTTAAGTTTAATTTAAGACCATTTAATAATTTTGCATAAACCGATTCAGTAACATTACTTCCTGAAAGAGATGTAAACGATTCATGGAAAATGTGAAGTCAGTTGACTCCTACCTCAATGGGGCCTTTCAGCGTCGATTTGAATTTAGAAAAATTCTTATAGACGTGAGTCGGACTTCTTTCATTATGTCATGGGCGGATCCAAGAATGTTTTATAGTGGACCGTCTAAACTTTAATTCAGACAAAGCAGAACTGTGTTTTCGCGGAAAATCATTTCTGTTTCGATAATAATACTGAATCAATAGTCATTGAGCTGTAATATGTGATTCTGTCATTGCATGAAGTTTCGTGTCATACGAGTATCAATCAAACCAACAAGCCTGATCGGGGGAGGAGGGCGTTCGACCCCCACCCCCCACTCCCCTCCAATTCCCAAACCCTCTCACTGGATCCGCCATTTTCTATGCAGTTTTTTCAATGTGTTACCTTAGCACTCTCTTCAGGCAGATTCAGTTGATAAGATAATGATTTCTTTGCATAAATGTAACATGATTGGCTGAATGTCTCCTCCAATTTGACCGACAGGGAAGTAGTGAGCTTGGTTCACCTATTGTTGGTTCTTCTACTGTTGATGTTGGTTCACCTATTGTTGGTTCATATTTCATGTTGTTATTGGTGTTGTTCACCTACTGTTGGTTCTTCTATTGTTTGTTCCCACCTTGGTGTTCTGCTCGCCAGCAGCCTTGATATACCCTGCAGGGGGCTCACAACTGCTAAAGAAACAGTTTATGAAATGTTAGCTAAAACAAAAATGTATTTAAAAGAATCTTGAGATTCAGACTGACCATGTCGGCTCCAAGATAATCAAGTATTTATGAAAAAAATGACAAACCTTTAGGTTGATTCTGACTGTTGTGAGGACGTTTACCGGCCAAGTTGGTCTGTTCAGGAACCGGTGGCAAGAAGTGGGAGCTTAAGATTTTATTTTTTTCTTTAGGGACAAGAAAATACCGACTACAAGGATACATACTCAAGAGACTTTAAAGAGAGACTCATAGAAGCGATATAAGGAACACAGAGTCTCTGGGGGTAT